GAAAGAGGCTCTCAGGTGGAGCTAGGAATACCTAAGGAGCATGTTAGGGAATAAAAATGAGCTTGTCGCTTTGAACCTGCTAGCAGCAAAGGGCAACACTCTCTTGGAGGAGATTTGGAGCCGCAACAGACTTATGCAGATAATCAGTTGTCTCAAAATATCACTTTTTTTCCCCCCTAGAAACCAGATAGCTTCTATACTGAAAAAGGATCAGTTATGGATGCTGTGGACAGGTGGGGAAGCAAGAAACACCCTTTGCCCTGCCTTGGCCCACTTCCTCATGGTCAGCCTCCAGGCTTGTGCATCCCGTGAGAAGCATTCAGCCTGCCAGCCCAGAGGTGTAGCCCGTCGGAATTTTTCTTCCACTTGCTGGGCTACAGAAAAGGGATAAAGGCTTATCCCCTGACAAGCGCCCTGTACCCCTGTAGCGAGTGCACGTGAGCCTGGGTGGGCCGTGGGCAGCAGTGGAACAGCAGTGGAGCGGCTGGGGGCTGCTTCCCTCCCAGGCTGAGGCTTGCTGGAGGTGGTGCCATGCTCTGAGACAGCAGCTCCCTTTCTCTCTCGTGCCGCCGCGTGCATTGTATTTCTTGGCACCATGTACCCATGACATCTTGATTTGCAGACAGTCAAATAAAAGAGAAAAATAATGTCCCCTGTTAATAGGTTGACACACTGCTTCAGGCCAAGTGTGAGTATTTCTATGGCATTTGCTTCGCTGCCTTATGTCAGTAACTGTTGCTATTGAAAGTAAACACCCCAACTGGTTAAATCAACAGCATTTTGTTTATTCAAAGCTCATAAACTCCAGTAGCTGTAGGTCACTTTATGAAGTGCCAGCCCCTGGGGGAAGAGAAGGAATAGTGTGAAATTACTGCATGCAGTCCACCCATCACAAGCCTTAGAGGAAGGGGATTTATTGGCAATTAATATTTCTTGCAGAGGGGAAAAAAAAAGTAATCCTATTGAGGCAGTTCCACACTGAACCTTAAACCTCCTTGCTGGTGGAAATGGGGAATAGGTTGAAACCTTCTTATAGGACTGGGCAAAAAGCAAGATGATCTGAGAAAATGAAAAGTGGGATTTGTTTAGAAGAGCACTTGCAGATCACCTAGAGGGAGGAGACGAGTGCAGACAAAACAGGGCGGAGGAAACCCAGCACTCAAGTAGGTACCTGCATTCCTCTGCCTTTCCATTCTGCAGGATACCTGCATTGAGAAACTCAGCTGAAACTCTTCCAAATGGTATCATTCTGCAGCACGTGGGTTTCGTACACCTGCAAGTGTGATCAAATTTGAGTCAGGGGCAAAAGCAGTTTTGCTGATGCTGTAGCCAGGACATAGCTCGGCATCAGCCTGGCTACTGCTGGCCGTGGGGCCGTGGCAGCACGGAGCTGCATCAGGATACCCACAGAACAACTCTGCCTGTCCCAGGCTTTAGGGCGCTGCTACTGAGGCCACCTCAGCTCGGCTGAGGATGGCGGAAAGGTTTCTGGCATTTCTTAAGAGCTGGGATGCACATTCCTGGTGAACCAGCTGTCCTCCTCGGCTCCCTTGTAGGTCACAGCGTACACAAACACTGTGCTCTATGGAAGTTGGACAGAGACTTGGTCTTCAGCAGTGATTTCCAACTTGCTGAGCTCCAAATATAATTGAGATGAGTCAGACGGTTATTTCCAGGCTAAAATTTGTCCTTCCTCGTCCTGAAAAACCTTGAGAACCACTGATGTGTGGAATGTCAGGTACAAAGTTCTCTGTTAACACACTGAAGTCTGAAGGAACGTAGGTTAATCTGGAGTTTTGATCAATTTGGGATGCTTTAGAAGTGAAATTTGGCAATTGGATAGAATGAAACAGTGTCCAGGCTCAAATTCATTTTCTCTTGACTATCATAGACATGTTTTTGATGATTGCTATTTACTTTTGCGGTTACAAATCTGTCTTTGTGATAAATCTAATTATGAACTCAAAAAAAATTCAAGTACTTAGGGAAAGGAATTCATCATACAGCCATGTGAAAGAAATTAACAACTTCTGTGAAGATAACCTGAATATATATTCTTAATTGGCAGTATCTTAGCCCAGCTGTTGTTATACATTTGAAGGGAACAATGAGTCATAAGGCTGTTTTCAATAGATTTAAAAAAATGCCTCTCAGACTGAACAAGGAAGTTGTAAATAGTGAATTATCTATATTTTTAACAAGAGCAAAAACTCTGTGTCATGACTGGCAGAAGGAGTTCAGCTGAAGTGTGTCCTTGCTAGAAAAGTTGCTCTCCACTTCTACAGACACCTGTCTAAAAGTTTTAATGCTTGTGTTTTCCCACCAAATATTTTAGCATTTTCTTTGTGCAGTGAGAGAATCTGTACAGTTCTCACTGCGGCCAGTAGCTGTTGGGTTTTCAGCTTTCTGAAGATTGCACAGCAGGAAAAAGTGAGGGGACCAGTTCAAGAGAGCACAGCCTTGCTTGTGTGAGTGGAGGGTCATAGCCGAACATATAGAATAACTTTTCTTTATTTTTGGCTCAGCAGCCAACGGTGTTCAATGAAAGGAAGACAGAAGTGCTCAGGGTCTCTGGGGAACTGGCTCTTTGTCAGAGAAAGTTAAGATCCAGCCAAGGCAGCTGTTAAATAGATGAGCGGCATCCTCTAGAGACCTTTCCAGTTGGGGTGGATGAATCTGGAGGAGTTTGAGTGCAGGTCATGAACTTGCAGATCAGACCCAAAGTGCTGCCCACCTGGTCTGGTCACAGAGAAGCTCATGATATTTTCCAGCTGTCTGTGCTGTAGGGAACAACTCTCACATCTTCACTTTCTTCAGCTTCTACCGCTTGTTAGCAAACAGTTGGGATGGGCTTGAAGGGATGGTGACCAGGATTCTCCAAATCTTTTCTGACCATGCAAATGGTTCTTTTAATGGGATGAGAGAGAAGTCGGTGGAGATACGGTGCTATCCTGGTTTTCTGGCTGGGGAAAGAGAGAATAACTTGCCAAAGTCATACTCCCAAGTTTGTGGCCAAGAACAGTAAAGATCTTAGTAATCCTTGATCACGTACATACTCATCTGGATTCTACCCTGCCTTTTCTTTCCTTGCCTTTTATAATCAAACTCAGTCTACAAGACAGGACCCTGCTCCTCAGATGTTCAGGCCTCTGCAGACCATGCTTGCAGACAGCCCAGGCTGTAGCAATCCTGGTGTGACCCCTCCTGCTCTCAAACGCAGCTTCGTGATTGCCCCTCTTGTTGTGTGCACAAGGCTCAGTGCCTGCACATAGAGATGATGCTTTTGTTGGCAAATGTAGTGTTCCAGGCCCAGAGTAGTCCCTATTCTGTAGGAGGCAGTGGGCTTTTGTAGTTTGTTTTTGAATTTTTTTTTCTGAAGGAATTCAGTGTTATTCAGTGGAATCCTCTCTGCAGGTGGAATTTTTGGGCTCCAAGGCTGTAGTGTGCCTGCACTTGAAAATTTGGCCATTTATTTGGAAACAGACATGGGCAAGTTCCAGCTCATTCATCCAAGCTGTCCTTTCTCAAGGACAAGGAGTAAGGCCAGCACAGCTGAAATGCTGCAGCCAGCTCCTGAATGTTTCCAAATAAAATGCCTTGAGTAAGTTTATTTTTCCCTCTCAAACCTAAATTTAGCACCCTGGAGAAGCTGCTTTGGCAGTCAACAGATGGTAACGATGACAAGATCGATCTGTGGATAGTTCTGGGAAGATTTGGAAAGTCCTGGTAAAAAAGAGTTGGTTTCATTCATGTCTGTAATTTGTCCACAGCCCAAAGGTCTGCTCATGAGCTTCCGATGGTTGAAAGACAAGATATTGACAGCTGCCTAGTTTATGGAGGACAACAGATGATCCTTACTGGGCAGAATTTCACAGCAGAGTCCAAGGTGGTGTTCACAGAAAAAACATCAGGTAAGGCGGTTCTTTTTAAATTTCTCTAACAGGTTAAAGCAAATCTGTGGTGCTGTTGTGTCTCATGGTGTCATCCTGAGATTTGCGCTTTTGAGTAACTCTACTTGTGTGAATAATCCCATTCAAGTTCATGTAAGTAAACCCAAATCGCTTGACTTAGCTGTGTGAGTAAAACTAGACTTGAGAGTAAATATTCACATTATTAGTTCAGGAGAGTGTATGTGTATTTTATTGGATTTTCTGAGGCTTTTGCAAAGGGACATTTGTTTCCTTGTAAATGGTCTGGATTTAACTTACCCACTATTAGGCTTGATTTTTGTATACTAAATATTGTGCTCTGCAAGGATAATAACAATGTCCAGGGATCAAAAAAGAACTTTGCAAATATGAAGGGCCAGACTCTGACACCCTTTACTCCTGTTAATTTCTGCAAGACTCCTGTAAATTTATGCAAGACTTCTGTTTACTCCTGTTGATTCTGCAGTATGAAAATGCAGTATGGAAACTTCATGTTCCCTTTGTGCTGTTAAGAAAACATGTTGGTCCTAAGTTTTCTGTTGGTAAACTAAGGTAGAGGCAGCTTAGATATATCCAGTGACTCCCAAAGGATTTAAGAAATTGCATCACTCAAGTGAACAGTATGCGTGTGATTTATGGGGTAACACCTTCTGCAAAAAGTAAGAATTGAGCCAAAAATTTATGTATGTGGACCTATGTGGTGGGGGGAAAAAGCATGCTGTGGGTTGCAGTTTCTTCCCACACTACCAGCAAGCCGTGCTATTTTAGAGTAAGAGTGAAAGGTTCTGGGCCTCTGAATTGTGAAGCCTCTGTAGTCAGAGCAATTTTCTTGGCACCTTGTATTTCCTTTTAAGACCGTGTATTAATTCCTTCCCCACTGTGCTGCCACTGTTCCGTCGATGTCAGCGAATCATGAAGGTGCATGGGAACATGCTTGGCAGCCCACAACGATACCTGTCCCAAAATGTTTTGCAGTAACTAAAGGAGATGATACACTAAAAGGACGTGACTCTTAATGCCATTTCGAGGAAACATCCAAAATGCCCTGCTCCTATTTCCATCTAAGAGCAGAGAAGGCTCTGGCTGGAATAGATGTTAGAAAGTAAAAAGAAAGACAACATTTTCCACACTAAAGCTAAAGGTTTTCTTCACTGCTGGGGAAACTGCGAATTTTTTTTCCTTTTATACCTCCTGATAGCGGAGAGGCATGGCTCATCCCAGCAGCAGCGCCCAGTCTGGAGCAGGGATTTGCATTCTGGTGTTCCATATCCTGCTTCCCTCACTGCCCATTGGCCTCGGCAGGCCGCCTGGACTTTGAAAGAGATTTTAGAAGATGGGAGGCCCAGACTCACGTCTTTGGTCTGAATCAGAAGTCTGTGTAGTTTGCAGTGAGTTATCTGGGAGATTCTGATCCGTGCCGAAGGCAAGCTTGTTCTCTGTGTGCCCATGCACTGTTTTATAATGCAGCAATACCTCTCACAGACTTGCCTTAAAGTGCTTTTAAATGAAGATCTCTTTGTTTAATAGATAGATCTTAAAGTAAGGAAGGTTAAGGAGTTGATCTCAAGATGCAAATCATTCAGGGGCTGATCTAACGCTGGCTGACTGCAGCAGATTGAGAATTAAGTCTTTGTGCTTGGGTTGTCAGAGGTTAATGAGTGTCCCAGCCTGCCTGAAAATTAAGTTCTTACGCACCTGTGACTTTCAGCTTCCCTCTTTATAAAATGTAGACAATTTTAATTATCATTATCATGTCCATGCTTAATTGACATTGCATTAGGCTGCATGAACACAGAACAGAAAGGGTCAGTTCTGCAGCCCAATTTATCAATTAGAAATGTCACTGGGTGGAAGGAGGAGGTGGATCCTGTGCTCACCTCAAGGAGCTCGCTCGCTGCAGATCTGATCTACACTTGCAAAAAGCGCTGATAAGCTGCTCAGAAGCAAAGTTAGCCACAATAAACATCCCGGTGGGCGGATAGTGGCGTTGCTGGCGTGACCCTGTCATTGTTGCGTCCTCTTCCAGAGCACAGTGCTGCCACGGGGAGCCTGTGAAAGAATCACACCTTTGTAAAGGCAGGAAGATGCACCAAGCTTGCAGGGGAAATATGGGGTTTTTTTGAGTTTCATTTTAACAGCTTGCAAGCCTTGTCTCTGCTAGCAAGTGGTATTTGATTTCCCACTTTTGCCACCAGTTTTAGCTCTACTAGTAGTGAAAAAGTGAGAGCAGTAGTGTAGATAACTGTCTAATAGCTTTCATGATTGCCATACTCCATGGAGTTCCTTGATTTGGCTCATTTGTCCAGTGTTTAAGATAAGAATAGCCAGATGCTTTTTTCCCTAAAAACTTTTGTGCAATGAGATATTCTGTTAATTGTTTCATAGATCCCCAAATCTGAGTGCACCTTTAATCTGGGGTCTGGATCAGTGTCTGCAATGAAGCAGGTGCTGAGAAGGTGGCAGCTGGCAATGCCTTACGAAACGGAGGAAACTCCTTCTGGGAATCACAGTTGTACGTTAAGTTTTATCTCTCAGGTGGACACCTATTTCAGTTTCCTCTGGATCTTGTAGGCAGTTCTTCACTCACTACTAGAAATGCAGAGAAACATAGAACTGTTCATATTTGTGACCAAAATGCAACGTGCTTCTAAGAACAATAATGAACAGTTTTTATTGCTCTCTTACACAGCACTATGGTTACATGTATTTTTCTATAGAAATGCCTGGAAAATAGACAGCATTCCCCAAATTATGCTGGGATGTCATTATGAAAATAACTGCCTCATATTACATGAACTACAAACTATTGCAATGAGCTCACCGATGAGAAGCCTGTAAAAGTCTCTCATTTTAGGCTTGTGACAGGAAATGGCAGCAGGAAGCGAACTGATGGGGTTGGAGCTCAGCGCTCTGTGTGTGAGCGATGGGATAAAATACTTGCGTTTGAAATGCATAAGTAGCAGCATTTTCTTAATGATAAGGTATCAATATGCAAAGATTATAGTTTTGAGTTCTTTTTAAGGTTATCTCTTCCCGAGGAAAGATTGTAATCTGTAGCTGCTGTAAGCAAGAGGAACTCATGAATTTGGTACAGTCAGCCTAGCACACAAAAGTAGAGTTTGGCTGAAGGAGTTTAAAGATTTGAACCCAGACACATAACTAAGCCCAGCTAAATAAAAATAGGTCAGGGGAATCAACTAGATCAGATTGTACAGATGGAAATTTTTGAAGTGCGTGTATTCTTTTAATTTTGATCTGGAAGAGAGAGAGCTCAAAAAGCAGTCTTAGAGCTATCAAGGATTTGGAATATGCTAAAGGTCAAGGGTGTTAGTTTTTGGTAGGGGCCCAGACCTTGCAATGCAGTTAAAATAAGAAAAGATTTGGAATTCCCCCTTTTATTTGTTTTCATTGTCATGTAATAATTTGCAAGTCAGATGTTGTTGGTTGCATTGTGTTTACTCCCATTTGTGTACTGGTTACTGCTGCTCCACTGTGAGTGATAGAGAAGTTTCGTGTTTCTCTGGGAGAAAAGTGCAAATGAACTGTGCTTTCCCCTGCCAAACTCTTATGGTGGCCACATGGACACCATGAATCATTGCTAGGACAATGTGGGTGGTGGAGGAACAACCCAAACAGACAGCATACATCTTTGGAGTACATCCATAAATCTTTTGATTTGACCGTGCGGTGTAAAGAGAGAAGGTGGTGCTTTCTGTGCCCTTTGAACTGGTGCAGCTGTCAAGGTCATGGTCACTCAAAGTCCATTTGACAAAAATAAATCTTTACAGCTCTAGATTCAAGAAGTGGAGCTCTAGTTTCTTTTTCCCTTAAGTGATATTTTCTCAGGATGCTAGAGCAGGTGTGCTTGAACATACTTGAATGTCTGCTGGTTTCAGGAGAGCTCACCACAGGGCAGGACCAAGACCACTGTCTTCAGTGTGTTGGCGACAAGTTGAGGCTTTCATCTGCACAGTGCCCAAAATGCTGTGTCTTGAATGGAAGCGCTTGCCTCTGTACCCTAGAAACAAACCACGGAGCCTGTGCAAGCGCCAGGCTACCAGGGCTGAGGGTCATGGTCCTCTGTGGGAGATGTGAAAGGAAATTATAAGGCTGTCCACAGCAGTGCTCCCCTTTCCTGTTGTGTCAAGTCTGAAGTTTCTCACCGTACCCCAAACAGGGATCTAAATGTCTGTTAGTAATCTGACAGCTTCATGAATGATCAAAAAGGTTGCGGGGAATGCGAAAAATAGTGAACTATTTTCAACAATTATCTCTTTGAGCTTAATGATGGAAAATTAATGATGCAATTTTCTCAGGCAAATTAAAGATAAAAAAGACGCCAAATTTTTTTTTAAACTTTCATTTTTTTCCCAGATCCATTCAAAAGAGATGTTTGCTATTTGACCCCAGTAAGCAACTTTACATATTTAATGCAAGCTCCAAGCTCCAGTTCTCTCACTGAATTTATAAATGAATGAACTTAAATAGAGGGTTTAAGTTATAGAGAACTGAGAGGAATGGGACGTATATTAGAACTAGGATCATAACTCAGTCACAGCAATTCACTGCTGAATGTGCATTACAGTGTAGATTTTTAAGGCATTTTAATCTGAGACAAAAAAGCCAGCAAGTGGGGAAAAGAGCCCAAACTATTGCTTAGTTTTCTTAGTGGGAAAGGCTAAGGGAAAAAAAGCACAAATATATGGGAATAGTTATAGACTTAGCGAAACTGAGAATAGCACAGTAATATTAAATGATTCAATTTGTTTGCAACGTGTGAGGTGTTTCAGAGAGAATATGAAACAAATTGGCTATCTTGCTATTTTCTTGATAGTTTGGAAGGAGCACTCTCTCTACTCCACGCAGCCCATGGCTGGAGGCCAGCATTTAAAGCTTAAATGCATAACTTCCCCACTCTAAAGCTGCAGAGCAATGGGATGAACCAGGGGAATAAATTACAGATGTCTCTGTCAGGATGCCCA